CCGATGACGGTTGAAGACCTTGGCGAATTTGTCTGGCAGCCTCTGCGATGAGGATTAAAGCCAAGTTTTGAAATTTTCAAACAACCAAACCGACTTGAGTTAGTTTGGGTGTTTCAAGTTTCAACACTTAGCTTTCAATCGTCATCTCTGAGGCTGCCAGACAAATTTGCAATGGTGTTCGACCGCCATCGACACCGAGAACTATTGCTACTGGACGCAGGACACCTGTGTCACTTGTGGGACGTGGATGTAGTATTCGACACCGACGGCCACATGTACCTTGCACTAATGATACTTACTACTTAGGGTACCATCGACATCAAGGAACCCCCTAATTAACCCTAAATAGCAAGTATCATCGGTGCGAGATACATGTGGCGCTCGGCGTTCAACACTAGATCCACATACCACAAGTGAAGCCGGCGCTCAGCGTTGCTTTGGGACGCGGGGCGTAGGCATCACTTGTGGGACATGGATGTAGTGTTCGACATCGACGGCCACATGTATCTCGCACCGACGATACTTGCTATTTAGGATCTTCTTCTTCTTTTTCCTCTTCTTAAACCTAGCACTAATTAACCTAAAACAAAACAGGAAAAAACTACACCTAAACCTAGCTATTCTTCTTCTCCTCCTCTTCTTCTAATTATTCTTAGTTTTTTTCATTACTAAACATAAACCTAAAACTAAACTAAACCTAAGACCAAACTAAAAGTAATCTAAACTAAACTAAATATAAAACCAAACTAAAAGTAATCTAAACTAAACTAAATCTAAAACTAGACTAAAAGTAATCTAAACTAAAGAACAAAAAAACAAAAAAAGGAGGAGAAGAGGGGTGCGACCGGGGTTCACATGCGGCAGGGGTGGGAGGCCTGCGGCAGGCCGGCAGGGCCCAGGGGCGCCGGGCGGTGGAGTTGCTCGCCGACGGATCGGAGGGGCACTGGCCGGGTGGTGGTGGTGACGGGGACGCAGCTCCGGGGCGGTGGGGTGGCGCCGGCTGGGCGGAGGGGGCGCCGGGCGGTGGTAGCGACGGGGCCGTAGGCTCCGGGGCGGTGGGGTGGTGCTGCCGCGGGGTGGGGTGGCGGCAGCGTCCGCGCGGTGGCGGGGCGGAGATGGCCGGGCGGAGGGGGCACGGGGTAGTGCTGCAGCGGGGTGGCGGGGTGGTGCTGTGATGACCCACAAGTGTAGGGGATCTATCGTAGTCCTTTTGATCAGTAAGAGTGTCGAACCCAACGAGGAGCAGAAGGAAATGGTAAGCGGTTTTCAGTAAGGCTTTCTCTGCAAGCACTCAAATTGTAGGTAATAGATAGTTTTGTGATAAGATAAATAGTAACGAGCAACAAGTAAATAAAGTAAATAAAGTGCAGCAAGGTGGCCCAGTCCTTTATGTAGCAAAGGATAATTCTGGACAATTTCTAATAATAATGAAGGAGCTCCCGAGGACACATTGGGAATTATCGTCAAGCTAGTTTTCATCACGTTCATAAGATTCGCGTTCGGTACTTTGATAATTTGATATGTGGGTGGACCGGAACTTGGGTACTTCCCTAACTTGGACAAGCATCCCACTTATGATTAACCCCTATTGCAAGCATCCACAACTACAAAAGAAGTCACTACAAGAAATATGTCGACTTATGACCACCACTATTGGTCACTGAAAGGTCATGATTTTTCATTTGCGACCTTTTTGTGACCAAAAATAGAAGGTCAAAAGCTGGCAGTCGTAAATTGACTATAGCGACCTTCTCTGTGAGAAGGTCGTAAACGTTTACGACCAAAACAGAAGGTCGTTGAATCCATGACCTTTTATTTTGGTCACTGGCTGTCTGCTCAGGCCATGTCGGATCCGACGTGGCAATCTGACGTGGCAAAACTACGACCAATTGAAAAGGTCATTGATAAGATTCAGCCCGGTCCAATTTGGTGTTTTACATGGGCCGAGCCCAATAATTGAACTTATTTGTATTTTTTCTGTCAATTTTTGTCAGGTTCATGGGCCAAGCCCTACATTCGGCCTTTTTATTTTCTGGGCCTAGGCCATTTTGCATTCCGTTTCATTCAGCCTTTTATTTTTGTTTTTCATAAATGCACAATATTTCAGTCCACTATTGTTTGGGCCATAGCCTTTTTAGAGCCCAAATATTATTCGATCCAATAAACGAACATTCAGCCTTTTTCATTCATAGATTTCAATTTTACACATTTCAACAGCAACGATCAATAATTCTCGCAACTAAATGATCAAATCCAAAAATCACTCTATGAAACTCACAACAGCACATCTGCACGATCCATCAAGTGTACATACAATCAGAAACAAATACAAAGACACCAAAACATGGTGGCAACATCAACTAAAACTATTGTGCAGCAGCAGCCACCTCGATCACAGCAGCAACCACCTCGGTCGCTTGCCTCGCGCTGGCGGAACTTGTTGGTCGTGCTCGCTGTTATAGTCAAGCAACAGCCTCTTGTACTCGAAGGCCTATAAAATAAAATGGATAAGTGATCAAATCCAAAAATCACTCTATGAAACTCACAACAGCACATCTGCACGATCCATCAAGTGTACATACAATCAGAAACAAATACAAAGACACCAAAACATGGTGGCAACATCAACTAAAACTATTGTGCAGCAGCAGCCACCTCGATCACAGCAGCAACCACCTCAGTCGCTTGCCTCGCGCTGGCGGAACTTGTTGGTCGTGCTCGCTGTTATAGTCAAGCAACAGCCTCTTGTACTCGAAGGCCTATAAAATAAAATGGATAAGTTAGATTGATTCCTGTAGGTGCAGCACATTTTCTGGAAGAGGCATAAACGAGATGTAGTATCATCACTACATGAAAGGAGCATTATACTTGGAAGGAAAAAACAGCATCCTGTCACCAAGCAAACACTACTTGACAGGAAACACTAGTAGCAGGAAGAGCTAGTTATGCATGATGTCTCAGGTTTAATAAAAGATCAAGACCACAATTTTAACAAGAGATATATAGTCAGTCCAATTGAAAAAAATCTAAACAGTAGCATTATGAATTTAAGTGGAGATGTAGTAGGCAATCAAATGAATATATTCTGGAGACGATGAATGAAATTAGGCAATCAACAGCTTAGGCATGGGGTCCCGGTCGTCGATGGAGAGCATCTAATGCTCCAAATCAAACAAATTGATATGTTTAGCCAACCAAGGGAGCACTAACCAAACTGAGAAGCAGCAGCAGCAGCAGCATCAATTTGATTTGCAAAAGCAGCAGTACAAAAGTTTCAATTAAAGAAAAAGTTTCATTTGGTTTCATTTGTTTCTGGAATTGGAGTGAAAGGGAAGCACTAATAATCATACACTACTGTTGTTGCTGCTGCTGCTTGTTTCATATGGAGGGCAGAGAAGAGAGCAAGAATACTCCTACACTACTGCTGCTGCACTTGCTAACAAGAGCAGTGCACTACACTACTCCTACAATGCAGAAAATTAAACCAAACAGCAAGCAGAAAATTAAACCAAACAGCAAGCACTACTACCTGCAAGTCCTCCAGTAAAATGATTTCAGTTAATTAACAAAAAATGTTTCAGATAATTTTAATTAACACAAAGAAGAGAGAAGAAGAGAAAAGAAGAAGTTTCATTTATTTTTAATTAACAGTAAAAGGTTTCAGTTCAAGTACTCCAGCAAGAAAGCAAGCAAAATGTTTTAGTTAAATTCACAAAAAAAAGAGTACTACTGCTACAGTAGGTGTGTGTGTGTGTGCTTTCATTTACTTTAAAATGAGACTACTGAAAATTAATCCATATGTTTGCAAAGGAGGATATGTGAAATTAATCCATATTTTTGTAAATGCATTTGTACTCCTTTCATTTACTTTATTTGTAAATGCATTTGTACTCGGACTGCTGAAAAGGAGTACTCCTTTCATTTAATTTACTTTAAACTAAGAATACTAAAAAGGAGTACTCCTCTCTTGAGAAGTTGATGTAAATGAAATCCAGGAGTATGTGAGAACATGGCCATTTGTATGATCATTTTTGTATTCATACTCCTCCACTACTACTCCTATACTACTGCTGCCGCACTTGCTAACAAGAGCAGTGCACTACTGCTGCACTTGCTACACTACTGCTGCACTTGAAATAATTCCAGTTATGGAAGCAATATTCAGAAGAGTATAACAAAGAGATGGTACCCTGTTCAGTCCATCAGTTTATTAACATCATGCACAGGAGTACAGTAGATGCATATGTTAACATCAGTATATTAACATCATGCCGAAGAAAGGCCACCTCAAGATCTTTTTTTCTTTCTGTAAGCTTTATCTTCAGTGCCCTGTTATCACCAAAAGGCAATATCAGAAATTATCTGGTAGACTAACAATATCACAAAGCTTGGCAGCGACTGCACATATCTGCAGTGTCCGGTCTTCCAGGCCTTCTTGTTGTCGCCGATACTGCACAAACATTAAGTAACAAACTGATCAGCATGCAGAGAGTATAAATTTGACCTCGTAATAGCTCCATTCTACAACTACACAGACCCTGGACTAACAGTCTTAAACACAACACCGTCCAGATTAAACAAAACCAGCGCCAGTCTACACTGTTATGGTCTCGAGCTCATTGATAAATCACTATCCACACATGAGCCAAAGACATGCACATCTCGGACAAGAGGAAACAAAAGTTCAACGACAAAGAGGATCTAGAGCTGTTCCCTGGCAGGCCCGACTCCAATCCCCTTTGCCCCACGATCTGCAATGGTTCCCCTCCTAAGCTGTAAGATAAGCCTCATCATACATATAGATGTAGCACAAATGCAGTAGTACCAGACCAAAAAGGGACGGTAGCACTCAAATTAGGAAGCCTGATACATTTAAGGAACGAGTAGTATAGAGTCCTAATACAGTAAAGTGGATCAGCCTACTATTATTAGCAAGCAAAAAGGCTCAGCGTCGGATTTGCAAAACTGAAACTGACCAAGTGTCTGGACGGGTGCTGCCATCAACAGCAAACAGCTGCAGCCTCGTTGTTGAGGACCTTGGGTATGTCGAGGTGATGGGGCCTGACAAAGCGCTGCAGGAGGCCGATCTTGTCCTGAGACCTCGGCGTCGGCGGCCGCGTCCTCCGGCGAGCCTGCGAAAGTGCGGTCGAACAGCTTGGTCATGATGTACTTCTCGAGGCCCTGCTCGGCACGCAGGGGCAAATCAAGCAGAGGCGTTCAACGCGAGGAGCCCGAAAATAAAATTTATGACAGGAAATTGATTCTGAGACCTCGAGCGTGTGGTCGATTTCCTGGTGGGTGGCGTCGGCCCAGAGCGGGTGCCCCCGGATGGCCGCCTCCATCTCCGCGAAGAAGGCCTGGACCCTGGCGTCGTCCGCCTCGGCGCTGGGCTCGTCGAGGGAGATGGAGGTGAGGAAGCTGCGGGGTAAAGCTCCCGGTTTTAGATCAGATCCACGCAGGGGGGCGGGGAGGGAGGGACTGACCTCTTGATGGAGCGGAAGAGGCCGGCGGCCTCCGGGCGGCGCATGCGGTCGAGGAAGCCGTAGAAGTCCACCCGCGATGCCGCCGATGTGGGGCTCTCCATCCCCGCCCGCCCGCCCGCAGCGAGAGAGATTTGGAAGTTTGTCTCTCTGTCGGAGCCGGCAAGAGAGAGAATACGAAGATGCGGATGCGGTTGCGGATCTGGGCCCCGACAGCGCGGACCCCCTCCGCCAACGGCACCCTGCCGCCTGCCGCCATGGAGGGGTTGGCCATCGAGGAAGGGGTCTCAGGCTAGGGTTTCGTCTGGGAGTGGGGAGTGTCGCTCGGCTCGGCGTGGAGGTGGCCGGGATTGGGTCGATCCAGAGAGGAGGAGGAGGAGGAGTCGTGGAGTCGGAGGGTTGGAGGGGATCGATCCATATGGATCTCACCGGACAAAGGGCGCCGGAGGTGGCGGCGGACAGAGGGCGCCGGAGGTGGCGGCTATAGCTGGCCAAATGGGCCGATTTTTTCGGGCCGGACCGTGAGCACGCGCGGCACGGCCCGCCTTGGGCCAGGCACGGCACGGTCTAAACGGGCCGGGCCCGGCACGCGACACGCCCTGGGCCGTGCCTGGCCTGGAGGCTGGGCACGCTGGCCGGCACGGCACGCCCCGATTACGTTTTTTTTATTTTTTTTATACATCTATATATGGCCCAATATATAAAAATAGGCTAAAAAACGCTCAATGGGGCAAATAACAGGCTGAAAAAATGCGGCCCACAGTGCTAAACGGGCCAACGTGTCGGCCCGTTTACTAACTGGGTCGTGCCTGGGCCTGGGGGCGCAGCACGCGGGCCGGCACGGGACGGCCCGTATAGTAATCGTGCCCTGGCGGGCCGTGCCGGGCCAGGCACGATTACGATGGGCCGGGCCGGCCCGTTTGGCCAGGTATGGTGGCGGCGGACAGGGAGGAGTGGAGCGCTGGGGTTAGAGAGAGAGAGAGAGGAGGGCACGAGGGGTTGGGTTGGGTTGGGTGCGTGGGAGGAGTGCGCGTTGTGGGTTGGGCGACGTGGGTGAGACAGGCGGGTCGTTGGATCAAGGAGCATCCGACGGTGATTAGGCACGATCCGCGTGAGATGCTTCTGGACCAATCAGAATGCAGTATACAAGTACTACATTTTGACCATCTAAATTGGTCATAATCGACTAAAAGTAAGGAGCTAAATCATATTGCCTATTTTATGATCTGAAAAATAAATAGAAAAATAAAATACCTTCTCATGTGCCATCAAATTTGACCTTAGTTTTCTGGAATAATGACGAATCAAAATAAGACAAATATCTTTTACAAGAGTTAGGAGAAATTAGTTTTGTTTAAATCATTTTCCATTTTTAAAGTGTCCAAAATGAGTTTTTTGAAGGACATGCTATATATTTGTTGTAAAATTGTACTAAATCAATTTTTTAAAATAATAGGCCATATATAATGCATAACTGACCAAATGGTTGAGTGTTCAAAGCTTTTATCCACCTCTCGTGAAAAAGATAAATATTCGCCGATTCAGCTGGAAGCGGGTCAAAATTGAACTGTAGCTGCCTTGTACGTTGCTCTTTATTTTTTCCAAAAATTATTTCTAGGTACATAAGTATCTATTTAATCAGAGAAACACCAAAAAAATTCCAAGATTCAACCACTAGCTAGGAATCTCATATTGTGCACAAGGGTGCATCTTGGAATTCCAAACAATATTGCCAAAGGAAGTTTTCATTTTCTTTGGACGAAAAAATCATTTTCCATTTTTCGAGTGCCCAAAAGGAGGTTTTTTGTGAAGAACCTATCAATATTTGTTGTAAAATTGGACCAAATAATTTTTCTAAAATACTAGCACATATTTAATGCACATTGACTAAATGTTTGTGTGTAAAAAGTTTGGATCCACCTCTCGTGAAAAAGACAAATTTCCGCCGATTCAGCTGGAAGTGGGTCAAATTTGAACTGTAGCTGCCTCATAGTTTGCTCTTTATTTTTTCCAAAAATCATTTCTAGGTACATAAGTATCTATTTAATCATAGAAACACCAAAAAAATTCCAAGATTCAACCACTAGCTAGGAACGGTCAAGCCCGCTGTTTTGACCGCATTTTGAAACGGGCATAAAAAATTCAAAAAATTGGAAAACCTTCGCATTTGTGTCATTATATGTGACCAAGTTTCCAGGAAAAATAATAAACTTGTAATACGATAATTATTTTAAAAAAGTGTTCTCAGAAATGAGCTATCATGCGTAAAGATTCATGGCTTTCAAGCCAAATGATCAATCTTATGGCCACATTCATGGCATACTTTGTTCAAATGATCTCATATTGTGCACAAGGGTGCATATTGGAATGGCAAACAATGTTGCCTAAGGAAGTTTTTATTTTCTTTGCACGGAAAATTCATTTTTCATTTTCCGAGTGCCCAAAAGGAGGTTTTTTTGTGAAGGACCTACCAAATAAGTGTTGCAAAAATGGACCAAATCATTTTTATAAAATACTAGGCCATATATAATGCACAATTGACCAAATTTTTGGGTGAAAAAAGTTTTGATCCACCTCTGGTGAAAAAGACAAATTTCCGCCGATTCAGTTGGAAACGGGTCAAATTTGAACTGTAGCTGCCTCATAGTTTGATCTTTATTATTTCCAAAAATCATTTCTAGGTACATAATCATAGAAACACCATAAAAATTCCAAGATTCAACCACTAGCTAAGAACGGTCAAGCCCGCGGTTTTGACCGCATTTTGAAACAGGCATAAAAAATTCAAAAAAAATCAAAAAATTGGAACCCTTCGCATTGTGTCATTATATGTGACCAAGTTTCCAGGAAAAATAATAAACTTGTAATATGGTAATTATTTTAAAAAAGTGTTCTCAGAAATGAGCTATCATGCGTGAAGATTCATGGCTTTCAAGCCAAATGACCAATCTTATGGCCACATTCATGGCATAGTTTGTTCAAATGATCTCATATTGTGCACAAGGGTGCATCTTGGAATTCCAAACAATGTTGCCTAAGAAAGTTTTCATTTTCTTTGCACAGAAAATTCATTTTTCATTTTTCGAGTGCCCAAAAGGAGGGTTTTTTGTGAAGGAACTACCAAATAATTGTTGCAAAAATGGACCAAATCAATTTTATATAATACGAGGCCATATATATATGCACAATTGACCAAATGGTTGGGTGAAAAAAGTTTTGATCCACCTCTGGTGAAAAAGACAAATTGTCGTCGATTTAGTTGGAAACGGGTCAAATTTGAACTGTAGCTCCCTCATAGTTTGCTCTTTATTTTTTCCAAAAAAACATTTCTAGGTACATAAGTATCTATTTAATCAGAGAAACATCAAAAGTTTTCCAAGATTCAACAACTAGCTAGGAACGGTCAAGCCCATCGTTTTGACCGCATTTTGAAATGGGCATAAAAAATTCAAAAAAAATCAAAAAAATTGGAAAACCTTCGCATTGTGTCATTATATGTGTCCAAGTTTCCAGGAAAATAATAAACTTGTAATACGGTAATTATTTTAAAAAAATGTTCTTAGTGAGCTATCAAGTGTGAAGATTCATGGCTTTGAAGCCAAATGATCAATCTTATGGCCACATTCATGGCATGGTTTGTTCAAATGATCTCATATTGTGCACAAGGGTGCATATTGGAATGGCAAACAATGTTGCCTAAGGAAGTTTTTATTTTCTTTGGACGAAAAAACCATTTTCCATTTTCTAAGTGCCTGAAATGAGTTTTTTTTGTGAAGGACCTACCATATATTTGTTGCAAAATTAGACCAAATCAATTTTATAAAATACTAGGCCATATTTAATGCACAATTGACAAAATGGTTGGGTGTCAAAAATTTTGATCCACCTCTGGTGAAAAAGACAAATTCCCGTCGATTCAGGTGGAAGCGGGTTAAATTTGAACTGCAGCTGCCTCATAGTTTGCTCTTTATTTTTTCCAAAAATCATTTCTAGGTAAATAAGTATCTATTTAATCTGAAATACATGGTTTGATGGCGAGACATCGAGGTTTGGATGGTGGCCGAGGGCCCCAACTCTAGAGCGCGTAAGCTCGCATGCCCGCCGCGTGGTCACCGCGTGACCGTGGCGTTGCCATGTGTTCTGGGCGGCCTAGGCATGTCTAGTGGGTTGGGCACTCCCCAGGTATGTGGTAGGAAGAAAATCACAACATAAGATTCTCGCGAGGAGACCGATCGATACTCAAACATGAATAAGCAGCCAAGTGCTTGATTTGCGGTACGGAAAATACACATGGCTAATGGGCGTGAGTTTTGGCTGAGGATAACCAGTTACTAAGAAGACCGTCTTCATAAATTGTCACCTCAAAAGGAGGAGCCTAGGTGGTACTTGCTTTACAAAGTACCACACTGGACATAAATACGAATGTTGAAGCTGGGCTCAAAATAATGAATGGATTGAGCTGGCATTTGGTGGAGGATGGTTATTTGGGCATAGGAAAGCACTGTAGAAAATGGATACCATTTAGACATGCCAAAGTGGTACTTCCTTCACAAAGTGCTGCTTTGACCAGAATAGGAAAATGAATTTTTTCGAATTATTTTTGAACTAGGCAAGGAATGTTTTTGACATATTTGATGAAGATATGATCCAAAACATTTATGAGAATTTTTTGGGAATTTTTGGAATAATAGAAATATAGGTTGCTTCACAACCTAGGGCAAAAGCTGCCACATGGACATGACACATAGGCAAAACTGATGAGATGGCGCCTAGTCATCACAACCCACCACAATCTACAAGGCTATGACCATCTATATTGGTCATTAACAACTAGAAATAAGGCAGCGGACTAGCACTGTTTGCTTTGTGACCATTTCGTGTAAGGAAATTACGACCTTTCTAACCAAAATGGTCGCAATGGTTTAGGGTTTGGAGCCCCCTGAACAGCTTTTGACCAATTGGTCTGAAATGGTCATAGATCTATGACCAATTCTTCCAGGGTCACTGACAGAAGGTCACTAGTTGACATATTTCTTGTAGTGAGTATTAAGGTAAACCTAACCACAACATTAGACATATGGATCCATAACAGCCCCTAACGAAG